CTCTGAACTTGTAAAGTTCATCTGTTTAGTTTTCGCTGTCATTTTTCATGAATGAACACTTCCTGATATCTGAGGCAGGAATCATGGCCTTATATGGTGTTTTTGGGGTGGTAATTATGCTAATCTCCTCTCGCGTGCACGAGCAGCTGGATAGAACAGGTGGAATTTACGCAGCTCATTTACGCACGTTTCCAGAAGATAGAAGAGTTTGTTGAATCTGACGTGACATGTTCGTACGAACCCTTTGTACGAACAAAAGTAAGAGAAAGAATACGAACATGTTCTTGCATGAGGCCCAATGTCTCAACAACAGTAGGACTGATCTGCAGGCCCGGATTAGACGTCAACATTCAATCCGCTGGAGGGAGCTGACAAACAGGCACGGGAACTGATTAACATCCCAAATCTTAGATTTGGGAAAGCTCTCATTGCCCTGACAAGGAAAACTTTTAGTGGTTGGAGTCCTGAGTACAACCTGCTAAACTGCCACAAAATGGTGGGACTCCCTGACAATGGTCTGTGATGCATGTGTCCTTCATCTGAGGACTGTGAAGGTCTAAGCTGAGTGTTTTTAAGAGGAGAGAGGCCCATGACGCCCCTGTTCATATGGATTCTTTATTCATCCCCACTCACCAAACCAAAAAAACTAGATATTTTTTATGGCAAGTTCGCCTATTTTCAAGGATTTCAAGAACCTCAGTCATAATTTTTTTGATCCAACCCTGAAAATCCGAGCTTCAGTTTGAGCAGCTGCTGGTTTAGTAACATTAAAATGTCAGTGGAGAGAAGTAAGGTTAATCAGGACAGCAGGCAGCTGACTCTGCTTGTTTTGGTAAAAGCAGCAGCACACCTAACATTAATATATTATATAGTTTATTCCATTAGTACTGCTGCTATAGAAACCTAAGTGACTGAGACAAAAGTCTAAACTCACTAACTCCTCGGACAAATGAAGTCTTTTCAATGTTTTTCTATTTTCAGTTCATTTTTAAATGTGAATTGTCAAGAATCTTTTTTATCCTTGAGTTCAAGAGCAACTATTCATTCATGCTATCAGAAACACGTATTTTTCCAGAGCAGAGTTATTGTTTTCATGTTCGGTTTTGAGTGGTGCTGAGTGTTTTAATTCTCTCTGTTTTCTGTTTATYTGTCTCATGGTCGTTTTTTTTTTTCCCCTCCCAGTAATAATTTTGACCGAAATGAAAGTTTGTAACACATCAAATCTCCATGAGAATATGTTCCTTTTGACGTTGTTGTAAATTACAAATATGTGCTGTACCTTGGATTATTCATTAAAATATGTTTGTTATGCAGGAGGTGCAGTATGTTTATTATCAAAAAGTTTGTTTTAACAAGTATTTAACCTTATGGGACAAAGGAAATCAGTGTTTGGTAGGTTATTTATTTGTTGTAACACTTCTTGTCAATAAATCTTATACCAATCGAAAACCTGTTAAATTCCCTTTTAAATGATGTCACATTTGTAAGGAACATGCATTTGTGAGATGAGCAGAACTGTTTGTGCACATGAAATACAGCATTTAAATCTCTGCCAAACGGCTTATTTGCTGTTGTTATCAACTTGTTTTGAGCTACACCCCCAGGTGTTGCCAGCAGCTACACAATATAAGCTTTATTTCCAAGAAGCATTGTTACAACAGCAAAGAAAAAAAATCTATCAAAAACAAATTTACTTCTTTTGCTAAGTTTATTTCCAGATGCATAAAGTTTGTTTTGACTATTTGAACTGATTATGATTGCTCAGTAAAAGTAAGAAATCAAGAATGTAAATGTTACCAAACTTAAAAATAACAGTAAAACACACCCAAGCAAACAAAGCAAAGACCTGAATCATATTTGGTGATGTTTTGGTGCAAAACAAACTCCCACATGATGCAACTTCCTAATGAACCCCTTGAAAATATTCGGAATGTTCCTTAAAATAACAAGCGCACCTAGAATTATGATCATTTGCACGACGGCAGAGGAGTTATAAAATATTTATWACTGGTGATGAGACTGCCTGTAACTTCACAACTCCATCATGAGAGGAAGAGRTGGAATGCGCGCTGAAAGTCCCCCCGGAGGCGCGCAGAACGCTCGCGCTGCCGAGGCGCACAGAGACGCGCCGGACCTTTTTTTTTTTCTGTCCTCCTCCAGCAATTCACGCAGAACAAAGAGGAGGCACGCAAATGTTGTCTTTCAAGTTGCGTTTYGAGACAGGAATCAATTCAGATGAGTCACACCTCGAACTTCTTTAAAGGAGAACTGACCCAATTTCCTCAGCTCCGATTCAAGTTTTCTCAGTTCAGCAGCCAGTTGGTGCGCAGCTGGATCCTCAGAGGAGAAACCTGCTCCAGCCTCGGTGTTCTGCTCTGTCTCACTTCGGAATCTTTGCGATTCTTCTCAGGCACCGTGCGCGCGCGCGCACCGACCTGGAGAGGAAGACTCCGATGGAAAACCATGCAGCGCTTTGAACCCATGGAGACATGGCACAAAGGCTCCTCACATCTGCGAGCAGAGTCAGCGCCAGATTCGCCTTCATATTCACCCTGTCTCTGTCCTGCACCTACCTGTGCTATAACATCCTTTTTTACGGCGGCGCGGTCGTGACAAACCAGGGCTACGAGGGGAAACGCTGCCCGCCGAGCAAGAACGCAGGAGGGAAGAAACTTCTGGGGAAATTATCGGACGGAAACTGCGCCTCGCCGGATGCCAGCAGGTCCGCCGGCCAGAGGGGACTCAGCGAGCAAAGTAAACCCCCCTCACCTGGCGGTCAGTGGGCTAACACGAGTCTGAGGAACATGAGCGTTGCGCAGAAGTATGGAAACAAGAAGCTCCCGAACGCGCTGATAGTCGGAGTGAAAAAGGGAGGAACCAGAGCGGTGCTGGAGTTCATCCGGATCCATCCAGATGTGCGCGCTTTGGGGACTGAGCCGCACTTTTTTGACAGGAACTATGACAGAGGGCTGGACTGGTACAGGTGAGGAACATGTGAAGAGGGGCACTTTTTATATTTCTGCGTAGATTTTCTAACTATGAGGCAAAGTTGTCATCAAATAATAAACTGAAAACTTGATTTATGCCGAGCAATGACGCAAGATAAAGCGCATGTAAAATTA